TCATCGACAATGTCACGTCCAAAGTGTTGGGCAAAAACTTCTTCCATGCCGGCTCTTAGGTGCATTATCAAAGCCTGCAAATTAATTGGGCCATCAATCTTCGACCTGGGGTCTGTTATCTCCATTTTCTCAATGCTCAAACACCCATTTTTTTCTACCAGCTTTGTCATCTCCTTGGGGGAAGGAGCATAAATAGGCAAGTTGAACAGGTCTACTTGAGATTCACCGACAATTCCCCGGGGAAAAAAAAAATTATATGAATTCAATATTGTTAAAATGCAACCCAAAATATAGAGCCAAGATTTTCAAGATGTAATGCAGGATGCAAAAGAGCACCAACTCATTCCGACAGGCAATGAAGGGTAGCAAAGTTCTATACCTTAAAATTAGTCAACAAAGTTTTTTTTCCCTCGTATGATAGAATGTGAATGTGATACAATGGAGATACTTCCTGGGTGTTATGGCAGACAATTCCCTCGTCCCTCCAAAGTGTGTTTAGGTACCAATTTCCTCCTTTTTCCCAGGTCATGTTGAATTCTTTGAATACAAAATCAACTTCTTATGCTAATTGTGATTCAAAAAATTTCGGTTTATCAAACACCAACTGGTCGAAGATTATTCGCAACATTCTTACCTAGTCAATAATAAGTACTAACATCTATATTCTGTTGTCTTGAATAACATTGGTTATATGTCCTGCATGTTAAAAGTCATAGTTTCGTCAGTACTTCCAAAGTATTTCTTATTACCATGTTAAAAGTCATGGTAATGTGGCTGCTGTTCATCGGAAAATGATATAGAGACACAATACGTATTATTTTTCAGGTGTATCGTGACCTATCGTAAGATACATATCGCGTATCGTATGATACTAATAACTATGAATTCATATACGTCACTGTCAAATAGACCTAAGAAGAGGGTATGAAGGATGAAGGAGGAGAGGAAGGAGAGGAGAGAGGTTGCCACCTCAAGGCTTAAAGCCAAAGAGTTTATATCCATCCAAGTATCTGTCCTTTATTGTGAGAATATACGGTTATTTATAGAGGAAGGCTAAACATGTGTGGCCAAGGCACGTACGATACAAGTTAATAAATCGGTGACAAATATTTCAAGCATCAATTTAGTAGTGGGATACACTTTACCGCGGGAATTGTGAGACCCTTACCTTAGGACCTCGCCGTGGAATTCAGATTATGCTTGCTCAAGATCTATTTTATAATTCTATTTATCTTGACACATTTATATCAATTTCTCATTTTCTATTCTCTCATTGGATTATATTATTTAGCTAGGGAAATATGTCTGCAAACCCTGAGGACCCCATATGGTGACCCAAGCACATCCTTGGCACGATTATAGAGTAGGTCCCGTGTGACATCTTTCCCGAACTAAAACTCTTTCTTGACCCATCAAACCACAACCTAAGACAATAGTAAAAATATTTACAAATATAATAAATGTCGGTGAATTTTTTTTTTCCGATACCGTAGACATGATTGCGTTTATTTAATATTGATAGTGATGTTTTGAAGACAAGCCAGAAACAACTACATGTCTAACTTCACTTAGTAATATGAAAAATCAAGCATTAATCATATAATATTTATATTTTACAATAATCACTAGACTGATTTATTCGTATTTATTTCAATCAAATGCTTTTGATTGAGACGCTCCATTTTATTTTATTTTTATAATTTGTCTCTTTAGGTCAAATTAGATCCTCTAGTACTAGGATTGCCAATTATAATCATGTATAAATCATATTTAATCCATGCTTAGCGGTTTTATACCACACATTTATTTGACGAGTTTATGACATTCACTCATTTAACACTTAAATTCATTAATTCAATATCGATTTCAGGTCAAATTCACTGGTCTTTGTCTAAAATTGACAGACATAAACTCCACAAATTAGTTTAATTAGAGCCCACTAAATTTTACTAATCCCATTAACAATCCATAAAATTGAATTTAATTCAGCAATAGATAATTGAACAAGATTGGAACTGAAATTAATAAAAAATAAGAGCACTTCAAATTATAATTAATAAAGGTAATTTATGAACAAAAAGCTAGATCTACCCTAAAATAGTTGGATATTTTGTTTTAATCTTGCCCGATTGATAAATTTTAATGTTACCCTTACCTCAAATAAAACATCAAAATGTAAATTTTCACTTCCGTAATCTTTTCCCCTATGAAAAACATTGAATTATAGATTTTAATGTTTAAGGACGGTAAAGGAGTCATTGTCTAGTTTGATCTTTAATCAAAATCTTTAGTGTTATTTGTCAACAATGACTACTTTCATATTCAAACATAACAATTTTTTTTATTGTTTGTCCGATATTTTCATTCAAAATGATCCGTTATTTCATAAGTGCAAGCTTAGCTTTTTCCACAAATACTACAAAGATGAGTTCAAAAGTCAGGGTTTCCAAATGTCCCTCTCAAGCTAACGCGTCTTCCCTTTGCTTACAATGTGGCTGTAAATGACACTAGCTAAGAATACTTATTATTAAGAGGGGTTAATTGCATTGGAGATCCTTAGAGTATGAGATTCGTCTCATTTTGGTTCCCGGTGTTTTAATTATATCATTTTGATCTCTGAAGTATTGAATATATTTCTATAAAGTCCTTCAAGCAGATAACTTTTAGATTGTTAACAATTTTTTATCATAAATTTATCACGTAATAACTAAATATGGACAAAAAATAATTTTGATAGCTATTAAACAAAATTTGGGTACCTCTTGATAAAAAAAAATGTACAATATGAGTAATTTTTGACCAAAATTTGGATAGCTCATAATCAAAACTGTATAATTTAGGTAACTATTTAACCAAAATTTGAGTAAAAATTTGGTCAAGAATTATCTAAATTATTTTTTGTCCCTATTTAAGTATCACGTGACAAGTTTATGACAAAAAATTATTAGTAATCTGGACGATATCTGATTGAGGGACCATATAGAAACATATCAATATTTCAGGGACCAAAATGATGCAATTAAAATATTTGGGACCAAAATAAAACAAATTTCATACTTTGAGAACCTCCAGTGCAATTAACCCTATTAAGGGAAACTTGCAGTCATATCTCTTCTAATTTATCATATCTTTAACGACACCCTTTTTATTTTCTGAATCTTCATTGACGCCCCTTGTCAGATTAAAAATGTTAATTATAATACAATTTTACTAAATTGCTCATGATATATTTGAGAAACAATTTCATCCACACCCCCTCTAGATAAGCATATCTTCAATGAGACCCCTTTTGTTTTCTAAATTTTTTTACATATTAAAATTCAAGCTGATTAAAATTTGATTGGATCTAACTAAAAATTTATTTTTTTATATATTAAAATTCGAGTCGATTAAAAATCATTTTTAATCGGCTTAAATAAAATTTTAATTAGCTCGCATTGAATTTTAATCTGTTTGAATTTTGATACATAAAAAATATAAATTTTAATCAACTCAAATTTTAATATATAAAAAATAAATTTTAATAAACTTGAATCGAATTTTTATTGGCAAGAATTTTAATAAGTAAAAAATATAAATTTTAATCGACTTGAAACGAATTTTAATCGACGCTAACAGCTCAGACAAAGTTCAAATCGGTTTGAATTTTAAAACGTAAAAAAAAATTATTAGACTCAAATTTTAATATTAAAAAAAATAAAATTTAATCAGCTTGAATTGAATTTTAATTGGCTCAAATTTTAATATGCAGAAAAATGAATTTCAAACAACTTGAATTTTAATATTTAAAAAAATAAATTTTTATTAGTTCGAATTTTAATTGAATTTGATATAGAAAAATTGATTGAATTTTATATATTTTTTGTATTTTAGATGAATTTTGTTTTGTTAGAAATGATGATTTAATGACAAAGGGTGTTAGTGATGTTTAAATATAAACTAGAACGAGTGTCAGTGATGTTTTTCATAATAGAAGGAGTTTCTTTGAAGATTTTGTAAACTAGAAGAGGTGTGGTTAAATTTTTTCCTATTATTAATGATCATTTTAGATCAAACTAAATAAAGCCAATTTATGAACAAAAAGTTAGATCTATTCTAAAACATTATCATCAATCTTTAATATGAGGATCGATTTTAAACAACCCCATTTTGCTATAATCTCACCAAATTGGACTATAATGTTACCCTTACTTCATAATACACCACCCACTAGTGAAGGTCTATATGTACTAAAATACCAGTGAAGGCATATCGGGGTGGTCTCTAGGTGCACTTCTTTGCCCCCGCCTCTTTTATTCCCAAGAAAAAATAAAATATAATATAATTTTTAATTCTGTAATCTCACCCCCATGAGAAATATTGAATTATAGAATTTAATGCTTAAGGACATTAAAGGAGTCATTGTCCAGTTAGATCCTTATCAATCAAAATCTTTAGTGTTGTTTGTCCGCAATGACTACTTTTATACTCTTTTGTTTTGACCATAAATACTTTCATATTCAAACATATAAATTTTTCTATTGTTTGTGCAATAATTTCATTCGAAAATGATCACTAATTTCATAAGTGCAAGATTGACCTTTTCCAAAATAGTAGGAAGAGCATGACCTTTTCCAAAATAATAGGAAGATGATAACAAGTTTATTAGCAATGGTAGTGCCGGCTACCCATCCTCAATATAGCAGAACCGCCACCGGCAACTTAAATTGATTAACACCCATATCGGTCCAATAACTATCTGTTAGAATTTTTCAAGCACATAATCCATATTATATACGCGATTTTACCTCCATATATGTCTAACATAACCTCGGAAAACTAGTCCCTTCAAGAAACACAAACAAATTTTGGGGATGGGGAGGCTAAAGACCATCTCCAACTCACAACATTTACGCTTCCAAACAACAAATAACTGGCTTCCTTCTGTGTAGCTTGATTCCAGCTGGTGGGAAAGCTATGCTTGATTATGAGAAGCCCTTTTAAACAGTTCATCGACAATGTCACGTCCAAAGTGTTGGGCAAAAACTTCTTCCATGCCGGCTCTTGGGTTGCATTATCAAAGCCTGCAAATTAATTGGGCCATCAATCTTCAACCTGGGGTCTGTTACCTCCATTTTCTCAATGCTAAAACACCATTTTTTTTCTACCAGCTTTGTCATCTCCTTGGGGGAAGGAGCATAAATACTAATAGGCAAGTTGAACAAGTCTAGTTGAGGTTCACTGACAATTCCCTGGGAAAAAAAAATTATATGAATTCAATATTGTTAAAATGCAACCCAAAATAGAGCCAAGATTTTCAAAATGTAATGCAGGGTTCAAAAGAGCACCAACTCATTCCGACAAGCAATCAAGGGTAGAAAAGTTCTATACCTTAACATTAGTCAACCAAGTTTTTTTTTCCCCTCATGTAATAGTATGTGAATGTGATAAAATGGAGATACTTCCTGAGTGTTATGGCAGACAATTCCCTCGTCCCTCCAAAGTGTTTTTAGGTACCAATTTCCTCCTTTTTCCCTGGTCATGTTGAATCCTTTGAATACAAAATCAACTTCTTATGCTAATTGTGGTTCAAAAAATTTCGGTTTAACAAACACCAACTGGTCAAAGATTATTCACAACTTTCTTACCAAGGCAACAATAAGTAATAACATCTATATTCTTTTGTCTAGAAAAACATTGGTAATATGTCCTGCATGTTAAAAGTCATAGTTCCGGCAGTACTTCCAAAGTATTTCTCAGTACCAATTTCCCCCTTTTCTGTAGATCCTGTTGAGTATGTTTTTAACTCAAATATAACTTCCTTTGCTAAGTATAATTCAAAATCTCAGTTTAACGGATCCCAGCTAGTCAAATATGTAGAGCTAACCATTAACTTACCGCGTTCACCATTTCCACGAGGCTAGATCCAAGAAAATTAAATAAGATACCAGTTGGCAGCTTAGCATGATGAATATCTTCTGGTAGACCTGGCACGATGAGTATCATCATTCCTCCACCAGTAATCTCTTTAGATTTGACATTAAGAAAGATCTCGAAATCCTTTTCAAATTGAGCTGCATAAGCACTCACTACATCATCTGAGGCACCTGCGTAGTGAATCCTTCCCTTATTCCATGATGGAGAGTTTTTGTCTAGCAACTGTTCGGGCACCTTGGAGAGCCAATGAAGTGCATAAGAAGAGTGCACGACACGGAGGGAGGACGATGGGAATAACTGCTCATAGAAAGAACCTGGCACTCCAGCAACAAAGTATTTCCGATCAGGAGGGAGGGAAGCAAAGAGGGTGTTGAAATCATTGGAAACATGATCATTGAACCACTTGGAATTCAAGCTTATCAGATGGTAGGCCCTGGGAATTGTATTTCCTTTCAAGGGATGCTATTAGATTTTGCATGGCAAGGAAGGTATTTGGTCCAACTGAACATCCCAAGTCTACGATACGAATTGTCCTTGAAGTAGCAGTCAAGCTTTTTATATCAAGATTCTCAACAATTGCATCACTGATCATCTCCTTTGCAACGTTTAAAGCTTCTCTGCCAATAAGCCAAACATATCATTGATGTCATTGCTATCATATCATTAATCATAAATGAAGTACAGACAAAATGTTCTGTAGTTGAAAATACTTGACTCGTCTCTGTTAATGGGAAAATGCGGAGCATCCCTTGAATTGTTTCAATGGAAAATGCAGCACAACTAGCACCACACCTTTGAGATTACATGGATGCTAATCACAGACTTTGATCCATTCCCTTTTTTTTAAAAGTTTTTCTCAATTTTTCTTGCTGGAATCCATTTTGCTTGAGATTATAGAAAGCAACCCGTGCCAAACTAATTTATGTTTATATCATCAAACTCAAAAAACTGACCACATATCGCAATCAAACCCCCTTGGTCAGTGGTTTATTGCCATATCCATGTAAGTTACCAACTGAACAAACTCAAACTACAGACTCTGATTAATCGATTTCAGGGACCAACCAGGCGAAGAAAATGAAACCCGAAAAATTCACAACCATACTATGTTTATCTTGGATCAGGTTTAGCACTGAAGTGATTAATATTTTCTTCATTTGGCCCTTCTTGATTATTCAAATAAATTCAGTATGTAATCCCCTGGTGGTGGATGCAGAGACATGAAGCACTAATGGATTTAACTCTTACAAGATTGTGACAGCCAATCGAACAAGCAAAGTCCCTTGGTCAAAAAAGGGCATTACCATTACTCAATTTAATTCCTTTAATCGAGGACGGTGCCTCGCAGAATATAGTCCAGTACCTGGTATTGGGAGTTCTTGGAGTAGAACGCATCTATATAGCTGCATCTTGTCGTGGTTAGTCTAATTTGGCGCATTTGACCAGAGATTAAATTTATAACATTTTTTTTAACATGCAAAAGTTAATTATTATATTGCAATTCTCATATAAACTGAATGAATCACAAGTCTGATTTTAAAAAAAAGTGAAATAGAACAAACAAGAAGAGTGGCAAATTAGAGTACAATACAACTTGAGTAATGCTACACTGATCAAATTTTAGGATCAAATTTAAAGTCCAAATAACATAACAGTTGATTATTTGAAGTTTTTATTGGGACTCAAATGATATGACACCAATCAAAGAAGCCAAATCAACTGTCGTGTCATTTGGACTCCAAATTTAGTCCCAAAATTTGGTAACTCTAGTATTACTGAATACAACTTTTGAAAAAACAAAATACTTAGAATGTGTTGGAAATTGGATGCAAATAAAGTGAACGACAAGGTAAGGTGCGGACTAAGTCGCTCTCTTAAGACAATTCGCGCCCTTTTATGAAGGAATCACAGCGCAGAAGGTTGTAACGCCAGCCTTGTGACTGTTGTTTCACACAGATCTGTACAATCGAATGAAACTGAAACTTCACACACACTTTTGAATATTGCTCAGACACTTCTATTGAAAGAAGAAATTTGATATGATATATATTATATATCTCTATACTGGAAATACGTATATATAATATATGTGTTTAATAGGTTGTAATTACTTCTATACTTAATTGGATAATAACTCATAAAATATGATTGTTGGAATACTAGCTGTTGGAAGTTTTTGGTATTCAGCAACTGAAATTTTAATATAGAAATAATGACATAAAATACTTAAACAAACTATTAAAAATTGGGTTTAAACAGTGTGGTTCGTAGATTTTAGAAATTTGTATCTCCTCCGCTACTCACACCCCTTCGCACGTGAGAGTCCCAAGACCTCTGTTTGATTCAAAAGTTAGATAACACTAGTATATATATATACTCAAATATCTTTGGATGTTTAGGCAATGTGGGATTGAGTTCCTATATAAAAAACACGCTTTTAATTAAAATATTCTAACATAATGTCAATCCTTGCCCCCCCCCCCAAGTTTACAATATTATGATTATATCCCTTTTCTATAAATTATTGATTTGATCATATTCAACCATTAACAATACAAATTGTGATATTTTGTACGAAAACACAATTACATATCGAGTACAATATCTTACGACATACACCCCATATCTCTCTCTCCTCCCAAAGTTAGTTGTACTCGAATTAATAGGTAATAAAATTGAGCTGAAATTATATAATGAAATTGATGTGATTTTTTTAAGGTTTAGTTAATTCGACAAAGTTGTATTAAGTTTAACCCTTTTGTTGGAAATCAATAATGTTACAATGTGAAGTGAACTTTGATAAGTTCTATGCATTTAAAAATTTGACATTAAATGATAAATTTACTGAAGATAGAAATATATCCTAATATTTATGGGATATTATGTGAGTGATATTCAATAAATTAGTCAAATTTAGTGGCATAATTTGATTTATAATTTATGTCAATCTCTAAGATTAAGAGATATGATTAGATTTGTCACCCCTATATTAATATATTTGCTAGTGTTTCATTCTGAACTTCTGCTTAATCTTCTTTGAATACATCCCCATAAAGTAGCAATAACACAGGCTTCCTCTAGATTATTGATGTTGGAGAAGAACCTCATGTGCATAAATCTTTCTTGAAGTGTCCTTTCTTTTGTAGTCATTTTGGTATCTCGTTTGCAATCATGATGAAAGACATATTTCCCTTCTTTTGAAATATTCTTGAACATTTGGAATCTAGCCAGCATTCTTGGTTCTCTAAAACTTTTAAAAGACTTTTTTCAAGTGCAATCTCTTCTTTTGTTGCTCCAAAGAGTCCAATTCCTTCATTTATTTTATGGAATTCGTCAAATACCCAAAAATTGGTTGAATTATGCGCCTCTGCAAAATCATTCGTTCGTGAGTTCGCAAAAGATATTCATAGAACCTTGGTTAGCAAATGGAAAAAAGAGTGTTTTTTGGGTACAGGACTTTCCATAAATAAATAGTTGTTTTGTCTTTATCGGTCTTTGAAAACATCTTTGACAAGCGATCCAATCTAGTAATAAGTATTTCTCTTGGAGTTCCTTTATCTCAAATTCTTTTGGTTGCCCGTGTTTTTTCATAGAAGAAAAAAAGATCTCTCTTATAGTTGTTCACATATCGTATACGACTTTGAGATCTTCATAGACATTTCTAAGGTTCGAATATGAATGTAAGGTGAGCTTAGTTAATACTTCATCGTTATACACTTGATACCAATCATAGCACTTTTTTATCCTCTCTATGATTTGTTCTTAGAGTACTAGGTTAGTATTTTTGTAGTTTCTACTAGCCTCAGCTGTTTCCTTTCTTTTTTCTAAGTGAAATTCTACTCATACAAGCGGTTCATTATCTTGTTTGGTCAGATATTTACAAATAGACCCCCAGCCATTATGAAACTTTGAATGAATCTGTGCTCCATCAAACTCTGAGAAGGTCATTCTTCAAATCTTATCCACAATATACCTAAAGGCATCTCTATTTTGAATTCCTACATGATAATGAAACCTAGTATCTTGATAAATTTATTTAGCAACAACAATGGATTTCTTCTTTCATTTCCAATCTAATTAAAGGGGGAGCACCGAGTGACTTAGGTTATAGCACAATCAGGCAGGCTTATACCATTACGCTCACGAACAGAATATTTGAAATTTTAATTTCTTCGCCGAGCTTGGACCATGTCTCCAGAACAATCTCAGTACATATGGCGCAAGACGATTCCACATATCGAGGTCGGAATGAGATCGGTTGTTTTCACGTCTCACCATAGTGCCCAATTTGTCTTGATTTCCGATTGATGAACAAAAACGAAAATGGAACTCTTGGATATATCTATATATATTAAGTATCAAGAATAATAAAGATGTAGCCTTGTGTGGATTTTGTGTGTCATGAACATAGATCTTAGACCAAATCACATTAATTCCTTGCGTCTTGATCTCTTGTTCATTTATTCTTATTTAAATTTTGACAACTCATTGAATACGCACACTAAATTAAAATTTTCTTGTTTCACTACTATTTGCCTCCCCTCCCCTCAAGATCAATTGTTAGCTCTGTCCCTACCTGTCGGTGACCAAAAAAATTAGGCTTAATTAGTTATAATCTTTTTTTAAACAAACAAACAACTAATATATTATATAGCATAGTATAAAGCTTTTGCATAAGGATGAAAGAAAATTTCAAAAAAGAGCATAATAGAATTCACATCTTCACCTCTTTGTTTGAAAATCTTGAATAAAATCAAGGATCTTCCTCTAAATTATTCACACTTGATATGATTTCTTGGCTTGGGTGTGGGTGTTTTGTCAAAATGGAATGACTTTTTTAATTTTTAATGTTATATTCTTGTTTTTGTCTTTGTTCATTGTTATTATATTCTTTATCAGTAGCTATCACTTTTAACCATTAGCCACTCTTTGTTGGCAGTGACAAACTAGCGGGGTTAACGGGTGTGGGTTTGTCAAAGTCAGATTAGGCCCGATTCATCTCAATTCATGTTGGGCTAATTAATTTGTAGATGGATTGGACTAGTGAATGGATTACGGATTAGGATTGTCAAGTCTAACTCCATTAAAATAGATTTGCTAGAGAGCTCTCGTTTATTATCACCCTATTTTTTGAATTAAATTATTTTAATTTTAGTTTTTTACTTATCTTTTAATCATTAAGACGGAGAACCTTCATGGATTGGCTTCTATCAATTGAAGTTTTGCTCATTTCGGATGGTGGTAAATTGAGATCACATGAAAGACTTTTTCTTATTAAGTTAGATTATTCAGGAAAAAATGATTTTTTTTTTCTTTTTGATCGAATCTTGTTGGTGAGGGTCTCACACCTTTGCGATTGTTTATCCAATATTTATATCCTAAGACGAAATTATTTATCCAATATTGATATAATTGTGTAGCAACACATTCACCATATCCACAAGGCAAGATTCAAGAAAATTTTGAGGATCAACGCAGTCTGCTGTTGGACCGTTAGGTTGTGAGTTCGAATTTCACCAGTCCGTCTCTGGTAAAAGTTTCAAAGAGTGACCAAAAAAATTCTAGGAAAATTAAATAAGACACCAATTCGGAGCTCAGAAATTCCTCCACCAATAATTTCTCTAGATTTGGAATTCAAAAAGCTACTCATGTCCTTTTCAAATTGAGTAGTATAAGCACTCACTACTTCATTTGAGGCACCCATGCATGTGTAGTGAATCCTTCACTTATTCATGATGTGGAGTTTTTTTCTAGAAATTGTTGTGGTGCCTTGGAGAGCCACTGAAGTGCATAAGCAGAGTGAACAAAATGGAGAGAGAGAGAGAGAACGAGGGGAGGTAAGCAAAGGTGTGGAAATGATTGAAGACTTGATCATTGAAAAACACTTAAGAATTCAAGCTTATGAGAAGTTGGGCCTTGGGAATAATATTTATTTTCTGCATTTGGCCCAACTGAACGAGCTATTGTAATACTATGTTAGCATTGTCACAAAATAATATTAACCAATAATAAAAAAATTAAATGGAAAAGGCAAACTCTACTTAAGTAATTATTGGATTATATGGTGGGAGAATAGGTAGTTATCGACTTATATAGAGTGGTAGTAACTAATTTATTTGGGGTCTATTTTTGTATTTGTTTACATATTATTAATGAATGATACTACGTGACAATGCTTACATGATATCACTCTTGTATTGAAGGATAGACTATTTTTAAAGGGTCAATAAATGTTAGTACCTTGCTAAATACCGAGAATAAAAGGAATCAACCCATTTACAAATCTAAGATTTGGCAACATTTGGATAACATGACAGCTCGTTGATTCAATTTCAAATCCACAAACTCATAATTGTTATCCAATACTTTTGCCACTACACCCAGCAGACATCATT